GCCTCGGAGAGCCTCTTGCGACGGAGGGTGAACGGCCGGTAAAGTCCACCGACCCATAGCCTAACATCACGAGTCTATGATTTGCCGCAAAAGATTGCATGTAACATCTACAGAGCAAAACGAGGCGATGCAATCCAGGAGCTTATTCGAATAGAATGAGCACAACTTCCAACTCCAATGGCGGTATGCCCCAAGGAAGGCATTGATCTTGAAGTATTGGCATTTCAGCAAGGCGGCGGCAACGGCTGGATGTTCCTGCATGAGGGAGCTTGCGGGCTGCTCGAGAATCCAAGCGCCACCGCACCAATGGATAAGAAGCATCATCAGGGCAGTCCTGCAGCAAACGTCGAATTAACACAGCACACTTGAAGCTCGAGAGCAGCACTCCTCGCCACCATGCGGTTTGCATCGGCAATATTTGGTAGCTCGGTTCGACCCAAAGGATTCTCCCTACCTGGACACGNNCGGATGTGGGGTCCAAGCTCTCTAATTGCCCAAGAGCTGCTCCTCTGCGAGCTGTGGCGACTCATCCACACCCATGTGGAACACACGGGTTGGAGCATCGCGAACCTGCAACACACAGCGATTGCATTTGCAATGGTTGCATTCTAACACCCAGACGACCCACCTTGGGCCAGATCGCTTCAAACTCAAAAAGCTTGCCAGGATGAGCCTTGGTAAACACGTGAGTGTTGGCACCCTTAACCAAGACATCTAGTTTGGGGCTTCCACGCAAAACCGGCCGAGCTGTTGATATCCATCGAAGGGTGGCGCTCGATGTCGTGGGCGGAGACACTGAAGCCCAGACTGCATAGCGATTCCTGCGATACGAGTCACGACGATACTCGAACCAGCAGCACGGCACTCCATGCAAATGACAGGCCTTGACCAGACCTGTCCCGGAGAACAGGTCGAGTGCATCCCACTTTCCCGTTGTGGGAATTTCTCGGTTCCACATCCTCGGTGTTTCCGATTGATTAATCCTGCGATCCTGGAGGTGCGAGTGCTC